AAATTGTAATTTTCCAGAATTATTATTCTATAAGTTCTCCAAAGAAATATCTCTATAGTTCAGTAGCAGTTTAGGTTATAGTTTTGTGCTAAGCACACTGTCTCACTTATGTTGAGAAACTTTAATGGAAATCTTTGTCAATAATGTTTATGAATCTTTATAATGCAAATGGCAGCTGAAGGAGAAATCTAAATCACACTGATTAGATTCGTTAGATTTGGTTCTGTTACATTTCATTGATTTTCATGGAGAATACTTGTGATATGCTTCAAGGTTTTCATTTGGCAAACCACGAATGAGTCAAGGGACAAAAGCTCAGAGGGTGCCAAATGGCAGAAAGTCACCCTCCATGGCCCCCGGGGAGGACATGAGTGGAGACCCAGATAAATCCTGACAATTGCTGAACACAGACCATGCAAGGACACAGCAGCATTCTGTGTAAAGATGTTTATTGGTTTTAAAGTTTTGTTTTCCAGAATCATTGTTTTTTTCTCATTAGGGCAGTGCCTCTAGGTTATTTGACTCATGCACTCACCATCTTCCAGTGGTAAACAGTTCTTTCCTATTGACTTATGCCTCATGCACTTTTCTCTCTTCTTTTGAGGATCACAGAAGAGGATAACTCTGGAAACAGGATACACCAAAGTCTCCCCGTGAATCGCAGTGAGAGTCTGAAGTTTCGCAGTCACCCACGGTATACAGATCAGCATCCTAGCATTGCCATCATGGCAACCACATTCACGAAATGAAGTCACATTGTAGAGAAGGCAGGAATGAAACGAAGCACATCAGGTGACAGCAGTTTCTGTGTTAGCCCAATTAGTGTCATCACCAGTGATTGCCCAACATCTAGAGATACAAAATGATTGCATGTCTACAAAGTAGGATAGCCACTTAATTTACCACCAGTAGAAGAAAGGAGAAAGCCACTGCCTGGTTTTAACTCTGCAAGAGACACAGGGTGAGCTGGCGGCGGGGGCAGTGCAGGGATCTGTTTTTCCCTCCCTGAGGCCTTACTGACCTGGAGGCCGGCCTCGCCCCTGACCCCCTCAGTGCCCTCTATTTGTGTATCCGTATCATGACCTTGAAAGAAAATCTTGCCACCCTCTGCTTTGATTGTTTCTGTTTGGCCAGCACGCTTTGCTTCCGTGTTTCTTCTGGAATAAAACCGACATCACTTATTGCTTTCCCGAATGTCAACAGAATTTGTTTGCCTTTCCAGTTTATTGAACACATTCTGCAGATCAGATGGGCCCTGGGCTTAAAAATGGTACTCAATACTATGTGAACTAGAGGCTGCAAAAATTAGAAAGATGAGTAGAGCCTAGCAGAAAACTAAGAACAGAGCTTTGCATGATTTCAGTGTCATTGGAGAAAAAAAATTACAAAGTACTGACTATAATCCCTGGGCTGAGCATCAAGCCCCTTACAGAAGCTTCCCAAACCAGACGGAGGGAACCTGCCCTCTGCTCCAGCTCGTTTTGAGAACAGAATGGATACCATGGGTGTTTCTCTGCTGGCTTGGAAGACTCTTGACTGTACTGATTCAATGGTGGGGTGAAGAGTGTGTGCTTAACGAGGGCCACACGAATTTCCTCATGGTCTCATGAAGCAACATAAAGGATCAGAAAGCCACAGTAAGGCAGTGGCCTTGTGGCTCTTGTCTTACGTGGACAAGCCCCTCCAAGTCTCTGGGCTCGCCTCTTTCACTACAGAGGGTGTAAATTCAGGCTAAGTGGTTTTCCAGGTTCAGAGGCTTTACCCTCTGTATAGTCAGGAAGTAAGCTCTGCCCCTTCCGAAGGCAAATTCCATTAAAATTTGCATGCTATTGGATGGGTACACTGAAATGTAATTCCTATGCACAGGGCAAGCGCCACACTCCAGGCTAGGCTGTCAGGTGGGACTGTGACCTGCCTCCTGAAATCGGCTCCACAAACAGGGTCTCTGCAGGTGAGAGGTGGCAAAGAGCCTCCAGTTCTCCTGCTCAGGGCCAGTGAGGACAGAGCCCACGCTCCCTGTCAAGGTGTCCTCAGCTCCTCCCATTTCTACACCTGCCCTTCTTTCCCTTGCCTAGCCATGGCTCAAACCTGATTTACTCCAGGAAGTCCTTCCAGTTTTCAGCCAGAAAATCTCTGGATTTGCACCATGTCTTTAATTTCTGTAGTGCAATTTGGCACTTGCCTCGCTTGGTGCCTGTCCTGTGTGCTACTCCTGTCTTCTGAGTTACTACCCAGGGAAGGGGCTGCCCCTTAATCTTCTGCACGCCTGCATTTAAGAGGAGAATGCTGAGTGAGTGGAGAGATGGTCAATTCTTGGCTGAGTTTTGGGTCAGTTGGTTGACCGAATGTAAGAACTGGGGACAGAAAGCAAGTATGTGATTACCAGGTCATAAGTGTATTTTAACCACTGTAATCGAGCATTCTGAGTGGATATCCAAGTGGGTTCTAATTAAAACCTGTTGTAATGTAAATGTCCTGATGCTATGAAAATGGCGCTTAAAGTTCGTCGACGATCTTTGGTCTCCAAAGCACGTTTGCTGCATCATTTTGGCCAATTCTCACACTGACCTGGTCGGACTACACAGCTGAGGAAACTGAGGCAGGTGGAGTGACTGGCCAGGTTTATACGGACATACGGGTTTTTGTCTTTCAATCCCAGGTCTTTTTCACTCGCCTACACATTTTTTTTTTTTTAAAAAAGGTCAAATTTTGACAGATGGAGCTGAAAACTTTAAGCCTACACCCTGGCTTTTCTGAGTAATAGATTTTAGAGATGGGAAGTCATTGGAGGAATATTGGTGCCTGTGCGTGTGTGTGTGTAACTGGGGGTAATATCCTTGCTGCTCACATAGAACTTCCTAAGGCATAAGCAGGTCTCAGTATTCTGGAAAGTTACAGACAGCCCATGTGCAGGTCTTATCCAGCAGTGGAGAAGATTCCCAAGAACAAGGCTGGTTGGCTCAGGAAAATAGTTGGACGGGAAGGAGTTTTGCATTGAGGAGAGGACAAATGAGTTTGAAATTTTCTGTTTGTTTGGCTCTGTGGGCTCTGGCTTGGGGCGTGGGGCTATCGGGACATGAATATCGGTACCCACTGTCCAATTATTCCCTTACTGTCTGTCCAAAGAGAGATAGGTAATTCGTCCAGGCCTCTCCCTCTCACACTGGGCTCCATGGGCAGGTGTCCACTTCAGCGGAGTGGAAGGATGCTGTGGCCAAGGCGTGGGCAGCCAGGCCTATGCTGTGGCCTAAGGGTGCTTCCAGGACTGGGCACTGCTGTGCTTGCCTACGACGGGAGTGCCCATAACGGTCCAAGCAAGGGTGGAGTTTCACATTACTTCCTACTGCTTTTAAAATGAGACATTCTTACCAATTTCAATGAAAAATGTTATTTTGTTCACTGCAGAATTGATTTCTTTTATGAGTTTCTAACAAACCTAATGGAAATGCCATGCAAAAGAATCAAACTCTGAGGATATGGAAGGGACCAGATTGAGCTGAGTGTCTTTCTGCTCTGTCACCGGCTGTCACCCAGCCCAACCCAGGGTCAGAATAGTCTCCTGGCTGCACCCCTTGGGGCAGTTCTCAGAGTCAACCGTGAACCTGTTCTTCAACCAGCTAATGAACACTACTGAAATGACCTGCCTTTACATATATTTCTCTCCCTAAAGTAAAGCTGCTTTTAATTTTCATTAGAAGAGGAAAATATTTAAAAAGCTATAAACTCAGGTGCTTTCCCAGCAAAACGTTTCTGTCCTACGTGTTTAATCTCCGCAGTATAATTCCATGATGACCAATAGCTCCAGGGTCCAAGGACCGCCAGCCAAATTTCACATTTCCAGGATGGAGAATGCCACCGTGGAGAGGTGGATGAATGAACAGTGTTAAGTTCACTGTCATCAAGTTTCATGACTATTATGACTCCCAGGGAACATGAGCAGGCCCTGCATTCTTATACTCTCTCATTTTCATCTGGCAGAGCTGCGTGTGTGCAGGTGGAGGCAAGTAAGAAAGTGGCAAGGAAAAACCAAAGAAACAATAAATTTGGTGAATGGCCAGCCCTGCTGAAAGGCGCCAACCCCTGTTCTCTGAGGAGAGGTCTCTTGAATCTCTGAAAACCTGGAACGAATGAGCAGGTCCCTAAGTAGGCAAAACTGCCAGAAGAATTGAATATATTATTCCAGAAGACTTCTCCTCCTTCCTAGCGGTAAGACACAACTGGCAACATCTGAACTTGATCCAATCATCCCTTCAGCTCCTGGGCTGCTTCTGGGGACCACTTCAATCTACTGAATTTTTGCAAAGACTGTGGATTCCTAAAACTCACTTCTGGTACCTGACCCAGAATGCTGCTCTGGAATGACATGCTGTAGTATGTGCAATATTTTAAAAATTTAAGAGTATCTGAAATATTTTAAATGGAACGATAGCCCACAATGACTGGATCCTTGAGGCAGTGTATCAGGTATGCATGATTTTATTTAAAATGTGTCCAATAAGACTTTCCACTTGGAATGAACATTTTTACCTCTTTCCTCATATTATTAGAAACAGTATTTCTTCATTTCATGGAGTTTCTTAGAAAGTTCTAAGTAACTTAACAGAGGAGAAAAATGAAACCCCGGGGAGATTAAATAACAGGAAGTTTACACCACAGCAAGGGTGCTCACCCATCCCAATTTCGGGGGACACACAAGTGACTACTGGGTGAAGAAATAGACCCGGTCATGCAAATCATCATATGATCACTTGGTATCCTTTGGCAGTTCTGACATTCCCTGTCACTAGCACAGATAATAAAATGAGTCAGATGACTGCAGTGAATGGGAAATCGTCTTTCGCTTTTGGTGGTTGAGAGAAGACAGGAACACAAAGGCGCGGCCGTGGGAGCATTTCCTAACCTCAGACGAGACTGTTCGCAGCTGACCATCCACTGCTCTGAGCCCCAGAGGGCGCACCCGGTGTCGGCACCACCATCTGCCGGGGGTGGCCTCAAGTATCTTCTGCCTTCCCTCTAATGGCACTGGTTTATCTGTGGACAGCAGCACACCACAAATCAGCATCGAGAGCACATTTTCACCAAGTGGGCGGTTGTAGTTTTAAATCACTAGAACCTGGCAATATTAAACTTGTGTTTTCATGAGCCGAAGGTCATAGCACAAATGAGGTCTACATGTCATCACAGCGGACCATGGGCCACAGAAAGACACATCTTCAGGTTATGTTGACCTTCCAGGAAGAAAAACAGAGATACAGAGCACAGCAAACATGTGCCGGGGACGCACAGTGGCGATGCACGGCGTTCCTATGAAATGTGAACGGCGCCATTTACATGGAAATGGAGCGAGCAGGGATATTGAGTTTCCTGCTGGCTCATTGGAGCTGCTGTCATGGAAAGAAGCTCAGGGCAATGTGACTGGGGCAGGCAGAGGGGCAGGCAGGCTGGGAAATGTCACCATCTCAACATGTGTTCTAAAGTGACTTAGAGGTGATCATTCATTTATAATCGAAACATAATCCGAACGGCATTTGCTCCATCTTCCTCTCTGTAAACACATCTGTTCATAAATAACTTAAACGTCTCCTTGGCATTCAGGATGCAGTTCTGGCTGGAGTAAAAAAGGGTGGAGGATGCACAGCGTTGAGGAGATGTCGGGGTACTGGTGTGTGTGTGGACAGGCGCTCGAGCGTCTACTGCAGGCGGCAGACATCAGCCATCGGACACGGGCGGGGTGACCCAACCGTATTTTTCATGCGTCTTCACCAAACTCTTAAAGGTAGCTTCAGCTTCCTTGCGACTGAAGGACTTTTTTGATTTGCCAGCTTTTCTACAGATCCGTCCCTGCGTGAGATGAAAAGAAAAACCAGGTTAGAACGTCACTGGGAATTCTGTTTCCTACCATCTTGATTGAAAGCACACAGAGTCGTGGGAATTTCTGATGTAGGAATCAATGCCACGCACTGGCCACCAGCAGGGCTGGGGCAGCCTCACTGCCCGGATGCAGAACAATTCAGCTCAGGCACCAAACAGATTGGCCAGCCTGGGGCTGGCAGACCTTCTGGGCAGCAGGGTGCTGTCATCACAAACCCACACACAGCATTGGCTGTCTCTGCTCCAGTTCCCGAGATGTGGCAGGAGGGGCCAGCCTTATCAAAAGAGCATCAATTCTTTTGATGGTCTCCCCAGGCAATATACTGTTTGAGCTTCCTTTCCCTCCCTCAAAAGAATGCCTTTAATTATCATCACTTAAAATTCCTCTGTGATAACAGTAAAGATACATTTACATTTATAGAGAGATGTGTATATTTGTATATTTATATAAATATTTTAAAACTCTAATTTTTAAAATTCAAGTTCCAGAGCCATTAGTGAATTTAATGGAATTCATGTCCCTTCAGTGCGAATTCATAAGGCAATGGTGGACATTTTCATGGAAGAAAAGACTGTCTTCGAGGTCCAAGAGAGGGTAGAGGTCAGGGCAGGTGGTTTGTCACACAATCTCGAGAGGGGGTGGGGCCAGGGGAGAGGCCAAGCCTCCTCACAGTGACCAGGCTTGTTCTGCTCCCAAGGACAGACCACTGGTTTCTGCAGTGCTCAAAAGGCACTGACCCATTTTAGATGGCACAAGAGGGCTCTGGACATGAGAAAGAAGAAATCAGGCAACAATGCCCACATGACAGCATCTCAGGAAGCCTTGGGACATGTGGTGTATCTGGCATCGGAGGGGAAGAGCCTATGGAAGACAGCCAGGATTCGGGTGATGCTGGCCTCGGCTGGACCGGTGGCAGCTCTCACTCTTCCAACCTCAATTACTCTTCATTAAGCCTCTTAATGGTAGATCAACTGAAACGCTCCCTTACCTGAGGCACATTTACTTCCACTTAGCCTCCCCCAGGCTCTCCTGGAGGATCTGCTCCTCTCCGTGGGCATCCCATGCACATGTTTTGTAGATGGCGCAGAAACGCCTGGGAAGACCTGGCTGAGCTTCACCCTCTGGCAGGTGCAGGCGTACTATTACCGACCATCGTCTGCTGTTCAGGAACCTTCACGAACAGAATTTCTCTCTGAACAGACCCTCTGCACTCCCAATACGAGGCACTGATACCACAGCATAATGGTGAGCACATGCTGCGATGGAGAATGGGGACTAGGCCTCCCCACCAGCGGCTCCTGCAACACACTCAGCCAGGCGCCTTGGACAGCCTCAGAGGGCACGGGTCTGGGTGGCTGCCAGCAAGCAAGATCCACCCGATCCTGGCTCTCTGATAACCTACTGACAACTGCAATGGGAAGGCAGCCGCAAGGACCTCTAAACCTACTGGGCAGGCGGTGTCCTATCACCAGAAACGTAGAGTGGACGAGGCCATTTCACAGGCCTGTATTCAGAGCCTAGCCAGGATTCCTTTTCAATCATTGTCTTTTCAACAGTGGACACCCAGGCCAATCCCGAGCGTGGGAGTCAGAAGTCCAGGGCTACCAACTTCTGCTCACTCTGGACATCCCTCTGCTTTCACTTGTGCATCTGGCATTGGGCCCTGTTTTGACAGCATGACCTTTTCCTTTTTTAAAGTTGTCTTATTTTTTTAAGAGACAGGGTCTTGCTCTGACATCTAGGCTGGAGTGCAGTGGCGCGATCGTAGCGCACCGCAACCTCAAACTCCTGGGCTCAAACAGCCCCCCTGCCTCAGCCTCCTGAGTACATAGGACTACAGGTGTGAGCCACCACACGTCTAATTTTTTATTTTTTATAGGGATGGGGCCTCACTATATTGCCCAGGCTGGTCTCAGACTTTTGGCCTCAAGTGATCCTCCCACCTCAGCCTCCAAAGCGCTGGGATTATAGGCATGTGCCACCACGCACTCTTTTCGAAAACGCTCTATAGCTCACATAGGAAGAGGTGCTGAAAGGGTGAAGGAAGATGGGATGAGCAGATGACAGGAAACGACCACTTACTGACTGCTAGCAACATCCCCGTGCCTCCCTAGGATTTGACTCCTGTTTTGAGTCGTATAACTTCAAGCATATTTGCTTACGTGGCGTAGATATATGATTTAAAAAAGACCACTTAGAGCTAACATATTCATCATCGTCATCGTGGGCTGATATCAAAGTCCAAAGTTATTTAATTAAACATATGAAAACACGTCTTTCACATCTTTGCGAGGATGTTAGCATCAATTTCTTCCTTTTTTCTGTTTCTTGAGACAGGGTCTCACCCTGTCATCCAGGCTGGAGTGCTGTGGTGTGATCATAGCTCACTGCATCCTTGATATCCTGGGCTCAAGAGATCCTCCTGCCTCAGCCTCCCAAGTAGCTGTATTACAGGCATGCACCACCACATACAGCCAGTTAAAAATTTTTTTTTGTAGAGACACCGTCTTGCTTTGTTGCCCAGGCTGGTCTCAAACTCCTGGGCTCAAGCAATCTTCCCGCCCTGATCTCCCAAAGTGTTAGGATTATAGGCATTGGCCACTGTGCCGGCAGCATCAGTTTCTACATCAAGTGAATGCAAATATCAAGGGTTGAATTTTTGGCCAAAATGTATATTTTAACCATCTCTATCCTTTTTCTTTATAATACTGAAAAATCTATGGTATTATTTGAAAATCCTGAAATAAATGTAGCTAGACAAACACAGACTCACAATCATCTTGGACTATTCTGTGGCTTTTGGCATATTCTTTGTGAAAGTCTCAATTGTTACAAGAAACAACAAGCAAAACCCCAAAGTAACAGACCACCCTTTGTTGCCTTTTCTTCCCTGGAAGAATCATGAACAGAAAGCCCCAGTGCTTAGTCAATTCAGCAACTGGGAGACAGAGCCCATTAAGAGCCAGTCAGGGTTCCACACATTCACTGCACTCCACTGTCGATAAAGAGCTCTCATCTCCTGTCTCTTACACCCATGTTTAAAATTAACAAATACTTTTTTCATAGGTTGCCCGTCTTCTTCTGATTGGCAGTTTAAATGAGACACAGCGAAATGCTGGACTTGGAAACCACTCCCTATATTCGCCCTATATTTCCTGCTCTGCCAGGGTCACTGAGCTGTTTTTCTGACATGTCCTTGCTGTGCTCACTGCACCAAGAAGGGGGGACCGCTCCATCCCAAGTTCCCTGTTTGCTGCAGATGTTTGGGCACTCCCATTCATCTTTCCAGGTAGTGTGAATTTCTGGGAATCAAGTGCAGACAATACCCATGTCACACATCATGAAGGACATCCAATAAGATAATACATTTGAAAATACCGAGGACTTTGAACGTCATATAATAGCTGTTCTTCTTATTCTCATAACATTTACCTTTCTCCCTTTTCTGTTTCTATTTAACTAATAATCAAGGAATCTAGTCTGAGATATTTTCTTTGAGTGACTCTTGTTTCTTCTGAAATATCTCTACTTGTACTTAATGTTAAGAGTCATAGATGTGACTATTCACTCAACCACCACAATAGCTTTGTGCTATCACTCCGAGTTTACGGCAACACCTTTAATAAGTAACACTTTCTGTCTTTCCTGAGCCACACATGATAAGTGTATACTTATGAACAACGACAGGATTTTGCCATCACGATCTTAAAAGCCTCACTGTAATATTGAAGCAGAACAGTGTTAATGAGAATGTAATTCTCCAGGGCTGTATCTGTCAAACAAAACCAGTAGGTGGTACTTTGATTTGATTCTTTTTTTTCCCTTATGGACTTTTGAGGGCCAATAGCAATTGATTCAGCATGAAAACATTTTAACACAGCTAATAAGATGACAAGTGGCCCCAAACTCAAATCCCCCGTGCAGCCCCCATGCACTTGAACTTCAGCCTGGCATGTCTGCATCTCCCTCAATTGTCTCATGTTTCCCATTCATTCATTTATGCATTCATTCAATGTGTTGGGTGCTGAGTCTAACAAGATAAAGTAATGATAGGTCCCTGGGGCTTAGAGTCCATTACGGGGAGATAACCAGGCATATTGCAGCTGCTGGGGCAGAGGTTGTGGAGCATTCAGGGTCCTCACTCTTGGTACTGTTGGCGTCTTGGGCCAGGTAATTCTTTGTTGTAGGGGCGATACTAGCATGGAAGGAAGTCAGCAGCACTCCTGACCTCTGCCCACTAGATCCTAGGAGCACCCCATGAGGAAGGACAACAAACTGTTTCCAGACATTGTTAAATGTCCCCACAGGAGCAAAATCACTCCTGATTGAGAACCACTGATGTGTAGAACAAAAAAGTCAAAGCCAGTAAGAGTCAGTTCCTTATTTATTCATTCAGCAAACGATCGCTGCAGGACTTCCCTGGGTCGGAAACTGTCCTGGTAACTCGGACGGCAGAGCTTTCTAAGAATAATAATTCTGGTCCTCATGGAACTTATAGCCCAGAGGGTATGGCGGAGTCTATATTGGGGAAGAGAGAAGAAAAGGAGAGAGAAGAGGGGTGGTGGTGGTGATTTGTGTGTTGAGAAAGACTTCCACTGGCAATAACGTAAGCTGAGCCTTGAAACATAGGTAGGCAGCTGCTTACCAGGCTATGGTGGGAAAGGATAAGGGGTCTCAAAGTGAAGGCGTGAAATGGCTCACTGTACTTAGGGAACAATGGACAGATGCTGGGGGTGGGGGGTTGGGCACAGAATTTCAGTGTGTGTGTGTGCGTGTATGTGTGTGTATGTGTGCATGCTTGTGTGTGTAGTTGGTGGGGAAGGAGTTGCATAATTCAATAGACCTGGCTTCAAATCCCTGTGCCAACACTTCCCAGCTGTGTGACCTTGGGTGAATCACTTAACTTCTCTGAATTTTGATTTTCTCATATATAAAATAAGCATTATAATAGCATTAGATGGCACTGGAT